AAATGGACATCGTTCGTTCTCATGAAGAATGTTCGGACCACGATCCACAAGGACAACCACAACGCCACGGACTCAGCTACAGCTACGGTGACTTTTGGTACGTTCAAGGAAGGACACTTGTGGGTTGCACAGGAAGGACAGGTTCAGACCGAGCAGGAGGTTGTCTTCAAAAGGATAAGAACGGAAAGCGCATCCCCGGCTACAACATCAGCACGTGGCAGCAACCGTATCTCCTGAGCCCGAAGGTCGCGCATGCGACTAAACGGTGGACGGGCACTCGATGGTGTTTGTCTTGCTATACGTCCAGGTCACAAAGCGACTTGGACGAGGAAGACGTGAAGGCCCTATGCCAGCTGGGTTTTCCGGTGCAGCACGTCCCCAGGACCAGGACCTCTGGGAATTTCACGCATGTGTGTAATATCTCATCCTCTTACCAGGAGCCACAGCATGTTCAGGATGAGAGTGGTAGCCCAATTGCGCAAACTCCAAATGTCATGCACGACAGCCCTACGGCTCAGCACGAGAGTAGCATCGACCATCGAGAAGATCCCGACCGGCGTCAAGGAGAACCACGACATGGCGTCCAAGCTCACGCCCCCAGGCGCAAGGAGGAGTATGTGCTCGCGATTCGCGCGAGGACCGAATTGGACAACAGCGAGCTCAACAAGCACGACACGGAGCGGCTCAAACAGATCTGGTCGCTCGTGCGACCCCGCAAGCCGAAGTCGCCATTGCCGCCGGGGTGGAAGAAACTGGATGTCGCGGCGCTCAAACAAATTTACGAGGACCAAGTCCGCCCGGACATAGATCGTCCAAACGACAAGCATTGGATCAAGTGGAACCGCCCCACGCTTGTCACAGAGATCCATCTCTGGCATGCGCAAGTCATGGAGACTGCAGAGCCAGAAGACCTGTTCAGCGAGACGCCTCTATGCAGCAAGTGCCGCATACCGATGTGCGTGCGCACAAATCGGGTTACCAAGACCGATTTCCTCGGCTGTGTCAGGTTTCCTCTTTGCAGAGAGACACTACCACTGACATACAACGGAATGCACACGAAGCACGTCATCGAGGACCTCCAGAAGAACGAGAAGGAGGAGAAGGATCTCAAGGAGCGCGAGATGATGGCGGGGTATCGGAAGGCGGTGCCGAAGCTCACTCGGTCGCTGCCCGTATCCACCGAGCAAAGGGGCGAGTCCTCCGATGGTTCATGGGCGGTGACGGGACCGCAGCCAGTGGACGAGACACAGGACGAGGGGGAGGGGCCGAACCTCTACAACACGAACATCAGCCGGGAGGAGCTCGAGATGGTGATGGAGCTTCGCAAGAGCAAGGAGCACGCCGAGAAGTGAATCAGCCCTCGGAGGTTGAAGCCACGGCAGGCGGATCAGATCCAAGAGAGTCCGCACTGAGTCATGACGATGAGACTTGTAACAAGACTTGTAATGCCAGTGACTTGCCTAGGAGTCCCTCCGAGATTCGCAATCGTATTCTTGAGGGCAATGATCGTCGTAGGAGGCTTAGACAGGGGACAGTCAAGAGACTCCTAGGCAACGCCAAGGCACTTGCTGCTAGTGTGATGATTGCTTCCACAGCAGCCATCGGAACGGCTATGCAGTCTGTTCCCCAGGCATCGGTTATTCGACCAGATGTGCTTGAAGTGTTTGATGAAGAAGCCAAAGTCAGTTCCAGATTTGGTAGGTGGGGATGGAGTGCTGCTAATCCTGTGGACCTTCGGTTGGATGATGACCTGTATGATGCTGATGGCAGGAAGAATCTCCTTGAGTGGATTGATCGCTGTCAACCGCGTTTGGTTGTTTTGAGTTGTCCCCGAAAGTTCTGGTCGTCTCTCGGATCGGAATCTCATGACAAATCACAACAAAGCCGGAGATGTCGTAAAATACGTGAGCAACATCGCTGGTTCCTTGAATTTGTCGAACAGGTGTTTGAGAGACAGATCAGACGAGGGGACGATGTCCTGACTGAGAGTCCTGTTGCTAGCGCTTCGTTTCGAACAGGTCCGATACACAACATTCTTTATCATCCTGAAGTTTATTCCGCTGTGGGAGATGGTTATGTGGGCAATGTGGAGTGTGATAAAGATCGGACGGTTCGGGCGAAGTCAGTCCTTTGGCTGAGTAGCTCGGCAGAGATATGTCAGGAGCTCGTTCTGAGGTGCTCTTCTCCAAGGGTGCCAGACCACCGGGGAGACACGAGCCCAAATCAACTCACGCATCGCTGCTGCAATTTGTCGGGGGTATGTCAAGACACTTAGGAGAAAAGATCCTGGGAGGATCAGGAAAATGCTCCGACATATAGCTGCTCGCATACGAGGTAGCAACAGTAAGGGACTTGTCAAGGACCTTAGATGGAATGAGAAAAATGTTAGTAAGGCCCTCTCCCGTTGGAGTGCAGTGTTTGCTGTTGGTTCTTCTCATCAGGAGGGCCAACTGACAGATGTGCCCATGTCTGCTCCCCTGGAGGACTCAGAAGGCGACGAGGAGCTCGTTGAGGATGTCCCCAGAGGAGCCGATGGATCCGGTTTAAGGACTGGTTTGGCCCACGATGGGATCAGCTTCGAGGTGCCTCCAGGACGACGATTGAGTGCTGAGATTCGTGAGGGTTTGAAGAAAGCGCATTGCAACTTAGGCCATCCTTCTAGGCAAGACTTGCAGAGGTTTCTCAAGCTTGGAGGCGCTAAGCAGGAAGTTATTGAGGCAGTAGGATGGATGAAGTGTTTGGCGTGCGCTCACTCCTCCAAACCCCAGACGCATCGAGTCAGCAGCATTCCTCCATGTGCCATTACCTTTGGAGATGAAGTTCATCTGGACTGCATATGTGTTCATGATAGTAAACCCGAAGCCCATTGGTACCTCTCCATAGTCGATAGGGCTACCAGTTACCATGTGGTTGAACTCTTGAGAGATCACAGTCCGTCTGAACTCAACAAAGCTTTTGATCGCGCCTGGGCCAAGTGGGCGGGACCTCCGCTACGAGTGACGGTCGATTTCGAAGGTGGTTTCCGAGGCCGCGAGTTCTGGAATGCTGTAGGAGAAGCCGGAACGTCACTTGTGTCTATTGCCGGGACTGCGCGCTGGCAAGCAGGCAAGGTAGAAAGGCACAACCGTACCATTAAGGACATGCTTAGGACGGTTATCAGACAGACTGATGCGAGAGGGAGAGAAGACATGAAGCTTGTTGCCAGAGAGACTAGTTGGGCCAAGAATACCCTCGTCAGAGAACATGGTTGGTCACCGGTTGCGTTGGTGTTTGGCAAGGAACCCAGAGTCTACGGAGAATTGCATAGTCAAGGTGAACCAAGTTCGTTCCACCCACGGGTTGGCGATCCCCAGAGCGAGCTGGCGAAACGCATGAGATATCGGTACCATGCCAAGTTGGAGTACGTCAAGTCACAAGCGCGACACATGCTTGCTCGTACCGCAGACAACCGCGTTAGGAAAGTCAGTAACCCGAAGATCGGACAACTCGTGTTCTTTTGGAGAGCTGAGAGAAAGAGAGAGCCCAGCAGATGGGTGGGACCAGGATATGTTGTCGGTCTTCAGGGACATAACGCTTGGGTGGCTATCGGGGGTAGATGTTTTCTGGTGGCTGGAGAATACTTGAGAGAGGCCTGGGGCGACGAGGAACATTATGGAGATCCACAGGTTCAGAAGGCCATTGCGATGTTCAAAAAGGTTCCTAAAGAGGCTACGTACGAGGATCTCACGAGACAACCAGGCCCCACTGAAGAGCCGATGGAGGTGGAGCAACAACCTCTCATGCAGGAGGTGGGTCGTGAGGTTGGTGATGTTGATGAAGGAGCCAGTCAGCTCCCTCAGACCCTGGCCCCCCTGATTGGGAAACCGGGTTGGCAAGTTGATGAGTTTGGGAATCCTGTGCTGGTGACGTATCAGGCGTGGGCTTATAGGACTCCCGAGACCCGGTATGATCCCCAAAGGATGCCACGCAGGACTACCTGGGGAAGGCTTGAAGGAGAGTGGATGTGTCTGGAAAAGGAGATTAAGTGGATGGAGTTGGATGATCCCCATGCGTACCTTCCCCATGCCCCAATGGAAATCTTGGTCACTTGTTTCCAGGGACGTACGAGGAAGGAGATGTGTCTGGAGGATGTCCCCGTGATGCTCAAGAGGAGGAAAGGAGAACAACAGGCGAACCTCGTGTGCACTGTTCAACATGGGGGTGTGGTGGGGAAGAATAAACTCAAGAAGATGATGGAGAAAGAGATCCCTTATGAGAAGATATCCCCTCAGGAGCGCCAGTTGTTCAGAGAAGCTGAGGAGAAGGAATGGGGCAGTTGGCTTCAGTACGAGAGTTGTCAGGTGTTGAGTGAAGAAGAGAGTGAGAGAATCATGAGGGACAACCCAAAGAGAGTTTTACCTGGCAGATTCGTGTATCGCAACAAAAATGCTGGGTTGCTTGATGAAGATGGCCGAGCCCTTCCGACAAGGGCAAAGGCCAGGTTGTGCCTTCAAGGGCATTTATGCCCTGACTCCAGGACCGGGCAAGTTCAGGTTGATTCTCCGACAGTAGAGCGGGTCTCGACCATGTTGTTCCTGCATATGGCCGTTAGCTACGGGTGGACCAAGCACTGGTACATAGGAGACATAAGCAATGCCTTCCTTCAAGGATCCCCACTCCAAGGAAAGGAGCCAATGTACATGAAGCCCCCAAAACAAGGTCTCAAGGGAGTGAAACCTAACCAGTTGCTTTTGCTGCTCAAACCAGTTTATGGGAGACCCGATGCACCCCGTGCCTGGTATGAAGAGCTCGCCAAAGTCTTGACGACTGAGTTAGGCTTCATGAAGTCCTATATTGATCCTGCTGTGTTCATGTTGAGAGATGACAGTGGTCGCATGATAGGCTGTATGATTGTTCATGTTGATGATCTTATGGTTTGTCATGACGGATCAGCTAGGGCTCAACAGGTTGTGGAGAAGTTGAGAAGACGTTTTCCGTTTGGGACCTGGGAAAGGGTCGCCGATAAACCTGCGGGAGTGACATACTGTGGCAAGGAAATCAAGATCCTTGAAGAGCAAGGAGAGCAGTGCATCGGCCTTTCCCAAGACGGTTTCATAGATGGTCGGTTGGAAGAGATGGAAGTCAGCCGTGAGAGAAGAAACGTTCCAGACAGCTTCGTCACAGAAGAAGAGAAGGCTAACTTTCGATCGATCGTCGGAAGCCTTCAGTGGCTCGCTACGCAGTCGAGGCCGGACATCAGTTTTGAAACCAATCAGCTTCAGAAACGAATTACGGACCTTCGAGTGTTTGACTTGCTCCGAGCGAACAAGGCCGTTCGTGATGTCAAGGCTAATCGTCTGCAACTCAAGTTTCGCAATCTGGGAAGAGATGCTCAACTTATTGTGTACACCGATGCCGGTCTCTACTCTAGTGTCGGCGTCGAGATCAATGAGCAAGAGTGCGAGGACATCGTGCTTTCACA